GTCCAGAACTCTGGTACAATATCAGCAGCTTCGATTTCGCGTCGAATCGTCACGCCCCCGCGTTACGTTCAATTTGCATAGAAAACACGCGTAAAATGTTCGAAAGCTCCGGCGTTCGACGCGCGATTGAATATTTTTTTTCCAATTTTCTTTTTTTTTTTTCGTTTTTTTTTCGCGAATACCGCAAGAATAAAACGCGCGCAAAAAAACGCGAATCGTCGTCGAGATAGCGCGGATTCGTTTGGCGCCGTCTCCGGGGGGAAAAAAGATTGCGTGGGCGTGCGACGCTCTCGCGACAAAAATAAAAGGAGAAATGCCACTCCTTCGTCGCCGGAGTTCGCGGGCGTTCGATAACCTGCGGTATTTCGATAGGATACAGGACGAAAACGCGCCGAGTAATTTCACGAACCCCGGTCGTTACGTGGATCTCGGAGCGAACTCGATTTCCTGGCCGGACCGTTTCGCGGACAAGAACGATGGACTTTCCCGTTAGAGATACCTCCCATCGAGGGCGTCGGAAGATACGAGGAAAACCGTCGACCTTTCCCCCCGTCGTCTTTACGAGTTCGAGTCTCGCAAAGTCACGGAGCACACGTTTGAATGTTTAATAAAGCTACGAAACTTGCTCTAAAAAATTGTTTTCCCCGAGAAATCATTTAAATAATTACGAGAGCGTTTCTGCTGTCTCCGGGTTCTCGGTGGCCCAGTTTTTCGATTCAATTTTCCGCGGTGACGCCCATGGCCGTAACTCACGAAATTAAGAACGATAGTTTCGACTCCCCCAGGGATCCCCCGTGAATCAAACACCGGGAGCGTCGCGATAGAGTGAAACGAATCTTCGGTTCCGCGACGCTTTCATCCGATTTTTATCCATCTTGGAAGTTATCTAAACCGCGAAAGGTTAAACTCCCCGGGTCCCCGGGGGAGAGAATTGCGGATTTCTCTGCCCCGGCTCCCGAATGTCTGACTCCGTGCTCCGGGGTTTGCTCACCGTGCCAATGATTCATGGACTCGCTTCTGGCGCACCGAGAGCGTGCATGGCCACCATTATCTCTGCAAAGACGCCGGGGCTCGCGATCCTCGATGGAACAAATTGTCTGCATTTGTTGTGCTCGCAGAATAAATATTCGAGATTTAATCCCGCGCTGGACCGCCTCTAAGGTGCTTTAAATCCCGGAGTTTCGGGCTTCGCGAGACATGGGTGTGGTCGATGCACGAGCAGACAAGAGGAATATTGATAATAATTGCAAAGATAAATGGTCGAGTTCTGCGCAAGCTCAGCGCCGGAAGGTATAGATCATAGAGGGCCGATCTAGCAGTGATTAGTGAATTCGCGAGCTTTCATGCAACGACCGTCTCTCTGTTCCTTTGTGGTCGCGCCGTGATAGACGCACAGACGCGAACGTCTAATTACGATGCATCGTCTGAAACGATAACGGTATCACGATCGATCTAATTACAATGGCGCGTTCGCGGAGAGGCTGTCGTCGTGCAACGAAGGACCTCGGGAATCAGGGCCGAGGGAAGACGTGACGAAAATGACGCAGCAACGAAATCGACCGTAGCGATTTCCACTTGCATTCGAGCTCGTCACGGGCCTATTCAGGATCAATTAAATGTCGAAACGGAGGAGAATCGAACCAATGACGTCGCTTTGACGTCAAGGATCCTTCTATCGACGATAATTGTCGCTTCCGCTCGAAAATCGCGAACATTTTTAATTCTATCCTGATATTTACGTATACCTAGCAGACTTCTTTCACAACCTAACATCCGGTATGTCTCCGTCGACGCTGAAATGTTAACCCAACGCTATAAAAATTGCCCTCGTCGCCTGGTCGTTTTGCAAAAGTTCACGAAATACGCACGAAAGAAGCGCCGACGTTAAAAATATAACGCGAAACGTGCAACGTGCGTCACTGGTTTTCCGCTTTATCGTTTCATTATGCCCGCCCGGAACACGAGGCTCGGCGTTAATCCAGTGGTCGGCGTTTAGTTACTTTTCCGCTGATTAACGCGAACGTCAGCGACTGTCGTACCCGACGCGACGCGCCAAATTATTTGAACTATCGTGTTAAATCGCGCGCGAAAATTCCATTGACATTGCCGCTTTAAAGTTTTCGATTATAAACGCAGCGTTGATCGCGGTACTTCTGAATCATGTTTACGGTGCCAGACGGTGCTTGTTCTAATGCAGTTTAGCCGGGTGTACGTATCGTCTAGGGAGCCGTCTAAAAATATTTGTCGCGCTTAATTCCGGTAATTGGGTCGCACGATCTTTGGTCGGAGGTTCGCGAGGGCTCGAAAGCAACGCGAACGGACGGATGCTGAGCATTATTCTAACAACGCTTGACGATACGAATCGTCGTCCTTTGGGTGGTCGGTATCAAGACGTAGATACGGGCGTCGACGGTTTACGAACGATCACCGGCGATCATAAATCATACGTTACGCGCGACAGATAATCTCGAGACCGGAGACGCGTCCATTTTGCGTCGACCTTTCCATCCGACCCGACAATTCGTACAATATTTTCCCTCGTGTCTCGCGTGGAGTTCGGATCGAACGACGCATCAAATCCCAAAAACATTGCGTTTAGGTATCGACGAGTTCGTTCTTTGCTGACGAGGGACCTTTTCCCAGACGTCCAATTAGTTTTACAGACGCTCCGATAGCTGCAACGAGTGCCATTCTCTAGGAAAATTTTATGTTTGTTCAACAAACAGGATCAAAGTCTACCACGAGCATTCTCAAATGTATAAACATGCAAAACTCGGACGAATCTTTGTTTAGACTACCGTCTGGATACTTGGATTGTTTTTTTTGGTTTCGATAGAGAGGAATGTTTCCTACAGGTGGCTCGTTGCAACCAAATTCCTTTGCACGAACGAATTCGAGGATTCGAGGGTTGATTTAGGGGTGGGCACGCGGAAAGACCCACGCAATTTTCGAGATTTCTTTAGCGGGACGAGAGTGCAACGCAAATGTCTGAGATAACGTCGAATCGATGAAGAATGCGTCCCTGGTGGCGCAAATTCTGTTATCTGTTTCATTATTTCGTGACCTTCGGAACCCTTTGGCATCCTTCTACTTTATTGGAAAAATCTCATTCGATCAGCGCGCAGATCTTTCGCCGGCAAAAACGATCGTTCGAGACAAGAAAGGGGTTCTCGGTTTGTCCGTTCGATATCACAAAAGAACACGAAGCTGTCATTCGATTGCACACAGATATCTAACAAGACCTACCAAGTCATCGCTAAAACGATTATTCTGTAAACAATAAGTTCACAGTCAAAATTCGATCCATGTTACTCCGTGTAATTTTTATATTCGATAGTTTGTGTCAGTTCCTGATATTGTCATCTCACATAAGAACCTAGTTTGGCAAACCTTGCTATCCTTGGCTCCGAGAGTCGATAGTTTCTTGTTAGCATGATAATGCACGGTCGAGTTTCGTCAAATCCCGAGAATCTGTTTTCTTCTCCGAACTCTGAAGATCGTGGAAATTCAATTGCACTGCTGCATTCGCATCGATCGAAACTAGCCGGTAGTTTATGTACTAGCATACTAATCCAGTCGCAACAAACGCGTCACGGTACAATTTGTGACTGGGTAACTACCAGATCGCGTGGAATCCGCTTTCTCCATTTTTACCGATTTCGCGTGGCTCCTTCGAGACTCGCATTAGTCCTAAGTGATATGCAATTTTTCCGTCGGTTCGCCTAACAGCGGAACCTTGAGTTTTCACACGTGGATCCGAACGCCTCGATCCGAGATTACAATCACCCCCTTTGAATCGTAAATCAAAATTTTGTCGTACAAGGAAGGCGATCTATACGCTGGGAAACCCGACACACAAATTCCAAGCATTAAACGAATCCTCCGCCTTGATCCGGTAATCACGACACCGCCTACGAGTAATTAATCTAACCGGTTACGCCAAGTACAATCCGCGGTGCACAGAATCTCTTAACTGTTAATCTTCTCGTTGATGTTTACGGAACAAAACATCCTTTAGGAAGATTAATGCGCGAGCTAACCCGGGAGATCTTACGATTCGGGATCAGTGTTTCTTAAACTTTACCGATAACAGTCCTCTTGGACCGAGGACACAAAACGGAGAGCAAAGTTGAACCGCTAAAAAGATCTCTGCTACGCGTATTGATCTACGTTTAATCCTTTGCATTACTGTTCAATGATTTTAGTATTCTTGGACGCTATTGTAATGTCAAGGGTAAATTTTTATCGACGACTGTCCCGAATAAAGATTAAAATAAAAAGTGACCGCGTACACGCTGGAAAACGGTTCGAAGACAGCCGATATTTACGACACTCCCGCGAGGGTGGTTTTTCGAGTGCGCCCCCGGCCTTATAAACAACCCCTTTCTCGCGCTAAGACCGCGACCGTAGAGGGGCACAATTAATAACCGAAAAATCAATGCTGCTGGGTCAAGTGCCGCATACATAGATCGATCCCTGCCACCGCGGGTGTGAGGATGCCTAATCGTATGAATGAAAGCTAGAGAACAGCGGGCGAGAAAGAGACCGGCGCTGAGACGAAAAGAGACGGGGAAACGGTGGTGGTTGCGGGTGAAACGGAACCAGAAACGAAGACGAACGCGAATCGGAGGGTGTACGTCGGCGTTCCAGCCACCGGGGGTGGCGGTTAAAGCGGCGAACAAAGAACAGGAGAAAGGACGAGAGACGAGACGCGGGCAGAATACGAGAAATCGCGTGGGGCGGCTGGGGAACGCGCGAGAGGTGGAAAAAAATGAGGGAAAAATGGAGATTCCGAGGTGTCGGTGAGGCTACAGGTATCGAGGAACACTGGTGCGCGAAAAAGACACGGTGACGTAAAAATTCGAGGGGTTAGAGAGAGAGAGAGAGAGTGAGAGAGAGGGGGACCAGAGCGAGAGAGCACGAACCGCGCAGGCGGCATCCACTGCCAGGGTCACTCGGCGCTCCTCCGCGAGAACGCTCTTGTACTCGGATGATTCTCTTCTTTGTGGCAGCCAGTGCGCTGCAAGCGCTCCGACGACGCGCTTCGACTTTACGCTTTTCCCTGGGAAATAGATCCCGAAGGATCGAGACGCTGGAACCGATCGAACCGAGAGTGAAAACGGGTTCGTACGCGGTCCGAAACAAATGAGAACAAATTACGATCGTTGCGAACCAAGTGATACACGCTCGACACGGGGGACGGGAACGTTCTCCGGGTGTTGGTAACAGGAAGTGCGAGGCATGATCGAGGATCGAACCGTCGTTGCGACATCTTTCGAATCCTCGCCGGAAGTTACGGAGTGAGTTTCGCGATCAGTGCGACGGAAACGCGTGGGATATCGAGGAAGACTGCTCGGAGGAGACAAAGGTGCGCTCTGCTAAATCTTCTACCCCCTTAGTCGCGATCGTTTCTCTCCCAAGGATCGAATCAATGTCTGAATCTCTTAACGAACTATTCGGCTAGAGATTCCCTTACAATAGAAATTAATTACTAGCGTCGATGGTTCTTCGATTTCCCCAAGAATCCTTCATCAGAATTCCTCGACTGCTAACTGCGATCAACTAGAAAGAAAACAGACTTTTTTTAAAAGAAGCACAACTGTTTCGTAAAGAAACGATCGGTCCAACTTCGTCTCGGGGCGAGGCATAAAATGAGATTCGAATCGCACGGAATTAGCGTCGCCCGCGAAACGAAATTGCGTTCCAATTCAAACGGTTCTTCGCGAAACGATGAAAGCTTTTCGTAAATATCGGACGAAGTAAGCTTCTGACGTCCGAGTTCCGAAGGAGAACGCGAAGGAATTCGAGGGAGGTTCGAGAAACTGATCGAAAGACTGCAGCGGAAGTGCGGAACAGAGATCGAGGCGCGACGACGCGAGCAACGACGAGGACTGGACAATCAGAACTCGATTATCGCGATCTTCGATAAGAGGACCGTGTGAGGGATCGAGAAAAGGGCGATTCTTCTGTTCCTGTTCCTGTTCCGGTCCCCACAGAGCTCTCCCCCCCGGGGGAGGTTAATCCACGGCAACGTGGGCGAACCCTTCGTCAAAAGGAAGCCGGAAATCGAGGGACAGGGCCATTCCAGGACCCCTGTATCGTTTGACGGCCTCCTGCGGGAAATCCCAGCCTCGAGGAAACCGCAATTATACGTGGGAACGAAGAAGGAAATCGACGCGTCCGGACGGAAGAATTCGTGTTGGTGTTGTAATCGGGATCTTCGAGCCGTGAGTCAGAAGATTCGATTGAAATTGTTAGCCGGTTTCGGTCGCGGGGGAAACCAGCTTCCCCTTAAAGGAAACGCGTCGCGGAACACGTAGCTTCCGAGAAGTTTGCAGAAATCAGTGCACGAAACTCGGCACAAAGGACTCGAAGAAGCTCGTTCGCCAAGACGGCCATTTTCGGTATCGGTTGCAATTCACGGAAAGAACGTCGGTTCGAGAACTCGTATCGAAATGTCAGATGCCAGGAGGAACACGAACGTGTAGCGAACATCGAAAAAGACGAGACTATTTCGGCCTCGTTTGGCGCGCGTTCGCAGGACGATCCCGTTGCTAGATCGCGTTGGTGGTGATTGTTAGTCACCGTGCGAATCGAGTAATTATGTCATGGTTTCGCGATATGCGGACACACGGTGCTGGAAATGCGGGCTGACGCGTCGCAAAACGCACAGGTGAGCAGGTAAAAAAAGAAAAAAACCCGTTCTTTGTTCCTTTATTTTACATTTAAACCGAATACGAAACGGGAACGGAGGATTTGCAAGTAATATTGCTGATTGTTCGCATCGACGAGCCCTCTTGACGTCATCGTTCGAACGCGTCGATTCGATGTTACAGCAAAAAGAAAAAACGTAACTTCTCGCGCACTGACGTAAAAATTATTTTAATTAGCGTGAAAACGGAGATCTCGAGTCCCGTTAATCAGCCTCTAAAATGAATCCACTTCGTGAAGAGACTTCGACGCGACGAAAAACCAGTAGATTCGATGAGTTTGCTTAATTGATACGAAACAAAAAATGACTCGTTCATTTTGAAACAGTTTGATCGTAGCCTTACTGGTTTTACGATCCAAGATAAGTTTACTATTTCGTACCGTTAATTCGATGCGAGTTTGAGAGAATTCTCGTTAACGCGACACAAAACAATGCCCGCGAGGCTCTATTTCGCAAAACGGACGCAACATTTCGGACGAGCAGCATCGATTCATTATCTCCGCGATCGCGATGAATTATCGAAGCGACGAGTCGCGGAAACGAAGAACATTATTCCACCGATACGCGTGTTCGTGCATGCAAGATCCTCTTTAAACGGTGGTTTCTACTAACGATGGGGAGCAATACTTGTCGATTAATCTCCATTATCGACAACTAGATGAAATATCGAGCGATACCGATACCGTCAACGACGCTGAAAACGTTCTCTGCATGTTTCGAATACCATTTGTTCCGAGACAAATTGAAAATTTATATCGACGATCGATGATCACCGAAATATTCCGCGGCGAAAGACAATAAAGATAAAACGTAAAGTGTTTACACACATGGCTAATATAGTCCAAGTTATTGCTACGCAAACTAATATTAGTTTCATCGTAGAGGTGAAATTTAATAATAGTGGAAAGTGAGTTGTGCGTTTCAAAATCTTAAACGAACTCGAAACTCGAAAAGTCTCGAATTTCGAGAACTCGATACCTGTTGTTATTTTTATAATTCGACGGCTGAGAGGATCTCGCCTTGGGCATACTCGTGCATTTAAATATAAAATAAATCGAAAATATACAAATACAGACGGCTCGACCGGTTCTCGGGTACGTGGGTGGATCAGATTAATACAAATGCCCAAATTTCTTGCAACGTTCTCGACAATGTAAAATTCACCTCGTGAAACTCCGCTCGTAAAACTTGGCTCGCATTATTTCACGTCTTGACGCGATTATCGACGCAAGTGTTCGCGACGCGTCGTGGCATAAGTCTCCGTGCGGCTTAACGGTCCTAAATTCTCGATTCACGGTCGAGTTTTCTGCGTCGATGGGTCTGCGTCTGGTAAATTAAACGTCCGAAAGAATGAAAGTTAACGAACTGGGCGACCGTGGACAATGGCCACTAATTAACAAAGCTGATCCCCAGGACATCCAAGAGATTAATATGCACGACAGATTTAATTATCGCTCAACCAAAACTCGTGGAAGCTTCGTGTCTTTCGAAAAATATTTAGCAACCCCGATAAAATCGAGGATTATCGTACGCCATTTGTAATACACCCTTCGATAGAAACGAAGCGTTTCGATTTAAGGAAGAAGCAAAGCTCGAGCATCGAAATGGACGATGCTGGGGAGGGGGCGGTGAAATTAACTTCACCCGCGGCGAATTAATTATTGGCCGCAGCCGGATAAACGTTTAGGTACGAAACGATAACTACGACTGCTGATGCAAAGTCGGATATTGCTGATTCGGTGTGATTTCAATGAGCACGGAAACCCCGCCAGCGATCTCGGATGTAATTAAGGACCAACGATGGCGAGGCACCCTTTGCGTTCAACGGCGCGGAAAATCTACCCCCCCCCCGGTTCGCGTGACGCCCATTTATATCGAACGGGCGACGAATTAAGACAACCTGTTCGAATCACCGCCTAACTGCGCTTTATCCGTGGGTTCGTTTTTGCGCGTTCGGCGATTAAACTTCGACCAGCGTGGGGCAATCTGGCTCTACGGCCGAATAATCTCGACGAACGATTTCATTAACGGTTTCCTTGGGATCCATCCTCGGGAAACGAAACTAAACAAATTTTATTGGACTAAATTTCCACTGAAATTCGCGGGAAATACTTTGATGCTCGAGCACGACGGAAAAATGGGTCGTAAAACCTTTGGTAGCTTGATAAAGCGCCTAATGAACGACACCGTTTCGTCGCGAAAATTTAAGGAAATGCTCGAGGTACGCGTACCATTTTATCGTGGACGATCCTTCCCTTATCTGTCGTTAGTATCACGCTTTATTATCCTATGCATACTTTGTGCAAAATCTCATCAAAGTTCAATTAATGTTGGGACGCTCGGCGGCTTTATGATTTTTTTATCACCCGTACATAGGGGAGCAGACTAGTATCGCAAAGTTAGTTATTCAAGTCCAAGAATCCTGCATGAACGTGCTCGTTATTAACCGTGGAACGTTGCTATTTTGTATTTATGTCATCGAGCATCGGTGGATGATCCCTTTGAGATCGACAAAGTTACTCGTGAAAAATCTAAGCAAGCGAAATAATGAAATTTAGCCAGAGGTGATCGTTCGGGTGGCAGTAATCGAGTCTTTTTCCGTGATTGGAAATTGGACACGATGATGGAATGATCGAAACGATTAGTTCGCGATAGTACGATTTAATCCGCGACGATAATGGATTGCAACGGCTGAAAAAGCTTAACAGCTTGATCGCGGCGTGCAAAAAGACCGTTCATTAATTGCTCGTGTATTAGGAACATGTCATTAAGTCTCCATTTCACGCGGGAATATCGAGCGGATCAGTCGCTGCAGTCTCGTTTGCACAGGCGATGCATTATCCGATGCATTTGTACAATGCAGCGCCGATCGCGTGGGACTTCGTGTCCGGAAAAAAGTTATTATAGTAAAATTTCTGATTTACCTCGTCCCGCGTTTCGCGCGTGCATTGATCTTTGGGATCTATAACGAGATCTGACAAAAGAAAAGTTACGCGGCCAGACTCTTTTTTCGACAAATATTAATATTAATGTGTTTACCGAGACGATCGATCATCGAAATTTAGTAGAGAAATATCGTACGCGACTCGAGAAAAAATATGTAAATTCTCGCGGGGTCTCGTGAACGAGCAACTAAAAATATAGGCGAGCGAAGTCGCGGGGCAATTTACGACCGAATCCGAAAGTTTTATTCGTTATTCGCGAGCAAAATTTGCCCCGAGTCCGGTTCTTAAGAACAAAGGAAAACAAACTATCGGTCATGTTCGCTACGATACGCGTTTCCGTTTAAAAATAAGTGAAATGCACGTCTACCGGTAGGAGCGCGCGTATTCTGGGAGTTTTATCAGAAATTTCACAGACCGAAATAGAGAAAGCGAGAACGCATTGTGCTGGGAACGTTTCGCGTTCGGCGGGAATGAAAAATTGAACCGAAGATGATTAATAGCCGATTCATAATAATCTCGACCATATTTACGACTACGTTGAGGGCGATCCTGGACGTCGCGAGCATTCAATTAGAGTGTTTGATTAATGGGGAGCGTTGGTACCACGGAGATGGGTCTGCAAAGTTGCAGGAATTTCATCGGAATTGAACTTATTAAGAATCTGGAAACGCCACCTTTAACTGATAGCAAGATTCGTTCTGGCATTCTAATATCTGCAGATTTTGATCGTATTAAAAACCTATTCCGTACAGTGTCAAACAAATTGATTTAAAATCAAAAACGAATTTTTAAGAAAAATCGACAGGGGGTAGGTGCCTAAATTTTTCGGCGAAAAAAAAAAAATTTCAAATCGTTCTGGAAAAATTATTTTCAGTTGCAGGGGTTAATTACAATTATTTTTGGTGAATAGACATACCCCCGAAATCCTATCCACTTTCGAGAAAAAAATTCAGTAAGTGGACAAATTTTTCGACGAAATTGAAAATTTTCAAATCGTTCTAAAAAAATTATTTTTAGTTACAGGGGGCAATTACAATCATTTTTGGTCAATAGACATACTTCCGAAATTCTACCCACTTTCGAGAAAAAAATTCGGGAAGGTGGATTTTTTCGATGAAATTAAAAAATTTTCAAATCATTCTGGAAAAATTATTTTCAGTTACAGGGGTTAATTACAATTATTTTTTGTGAATAGACACACCCTCGAAATCCTATCCATTTTCGAGAAAAAAATTCAGTAAGTGGACGAATATTTCGTTGAAATTAAAAAATTTCAAATCGTTCTGAAAAAATTATTGCTAGCTGTAGGGGTCAATTACAATTATTTTTGGTTAATAGACACACCCTTGAAATCCTACCCATTTTCGAGAAAAAAATTCAGTAAGTGGACAAATTTTTCGGCGAAAAAAAAAATTTCATATCGTTCTGAAAAAATTATTGCTAGCTGCAGGGGTCAATTACAATCATTTTTGGTGAATAGACATATCCCCGAAATCTTATCCACTTTCGAGAAAAAAATTCAGTAAGTGGACGAATATTTCGTTGAAATTAAAAAATTTCAAATCGTTCTGAAAAAATTATTGCTAGCTGTAGGGGTCAATTACAATCATTTTTGGCGTATAGACATATCCCCGAAATCCTATCCACTTTCGAGAAAAAAATTCCTTTCCAAAAATATTAGAAAACATTTTCTCGTTTTAAAAATACGACGAATCTTTCTAATTGTTGAAAGGTGGAATTGGATTCTACGATATAATGATTCACGATAGTCCTATTGTAATGGATATCGAGGACATTTTTGCATCGAGGTTCTCGTTGGAAGCTAGTTAAATAGCCATTGAAATTCGCAATCCAAGATGAAACCGAGGCAATATACTTTTACCGCTCGAAGTGTATTGCATATTTAAGTTGAGAGGCCGAACTAAGAACCGCGGTAGCTCCCGGTGATAAGCAGACATCGGTTCCATTCGCGAAAACCAATCTCCTTAGTGGTACCCGTTGATAACCGCCGGTTCTTCCGCGAA